GTTTCGTCGGAACGAATTTACGGAAAATTACTAACGAACGGAGACGTAACGATAGGCTCAGGACTAGGTTGCATAGGTCCAAGCCCTATTTGTATTACTAGTGTTAGGCTTGGCCTACGTAAGTTTCAGTTTAGTTTTTAATTATTTACCAAAAACGTGGGTCCTTCATCACGTTAGGTGTTTACAAGCCATTATTTCCTGTTGTTAGCATCTGTAAGAAAGCTGTGGAACGAGAAACATTTGTTGTCTCATGTGTTATTATACACAGTGACACGGTTTTCCTTATATGATGTGTCTAGGCCGTCGCGAGAACGAGGCTGAACATTTTAACAAGTAAATAAAACAGCATACTCGTCAATCATTTCAACCCTAACTACAGCCATTACATAAGGCATTAGGCGGTTAGATATAGAGACCCACACACAAATATAACTTATCAAACCTCACACTTTTTAAAAGGTAATGTTTAATAGTGCACTTGTGTATTTTAAGAGGAAAATAAGTGGGATAACTTCAACATTTTTGGAGTTTTGTACTAACAATTTCGGTTTGTGTTTTAGTGAACGCTCCTGAAGAAGCTGTAAAGCGAAACTTTGAGTGACTAATTAATTAAAAACATTTTGGTGTAATAAGGTCGTTTATTTTTAGTATTGATATGTCTTATATACACTAATATGCACTACAGAAATTAAATAATTGTTTGTTTACTCGTCAAAATAAACTAGATCAATAAGGCTGTCGAACTGTGTCCCTGTGTATAGTGCATTGGAACACAGGCTCGTCCTCGTCTTACGATGGCGGGCGCGTGATATCGGTGGGTTGCATCAGAACTTTGTATCTTCTGCACTTTTATTCATTTGCTTTAAAAGAGCTGCAGTATAAATAAAAACAGTTAACAAACTTGAAAAGAAATAGTACAGTAAAATGAAAGTAAAAGCAATGTAAATTCTGTAATATCTTCTAGTAGAATAGTTGCTAAAACTCATCAATATTCTGATGTCACCTTTTTTGTCTAGGATGAATATCTGTTTCATTTGTCAGTTGTTGTTTTTTTAACTTAGACACATTGATGTGGTAACAGCTAAGTTAAATGGTCTAATGAACAGTGAGAACATTTATGAAATGACTTTAGCTAATATGTTATGTGCGCGAACCTAATATAAAAAATACGTTGAATAACCCAATTTATTTATCTTAATCTCCTTAAGATGGCGCTCATAATTTCCCAATTCTCTTTAATTATATTTCTGGAAATACAAATTTTTCGATCACCGTAAAATGTTGGTAGTAGTAAAACTGTTCCACAAGCTTTTTTTTTCAAATCATTTGTTATTATTGTTACTAAATATTGTGTATATTTCCTTTCCTTAAAACAAAACCTTTTCAGCCCTATAAACACACCTTTCTCAGTATTCGTGTGTTCTTCACGTGACTTTTATGCGCGTCTTTAACATATACGTCCATAATAGTAGTTCTTGACTTTTTTTAAGTGAACGTTCGAAAACTCTGTTAAAGCTTGTGGGATTATTTCAGTGCTTCTTCTCTTTTTCATACATTTCACTGGACGACTTTGACGTACATATCACGTTAGATTTGTTTGATTTGTTTTTGAATTTCGCGCAAAGCTAATCGAGGGCTATCTGCGCTAGCCTTCCCTAACTTAGCAGTGATAGACTAGAGGGAAGGCAGCTAGTGAACACCACCCACCTCCAGCTCTTAAGATTTTTTGATTTTTTTTACCAACGAATAGTGAGATTGACCGTCATCGTATAGTGTTCCCTCAGCTGAAAGGTTGAGCATGTTCGGTGAGGGTATTCGAGCGCCCCATCCACCAGGCCATGCTAGGTCATCACGATGGATCAATAAAAAGTAACTACAGAAATCCAAGAAAGAAAAAAAAACATTTCAAAAGTAGAAACTTTACATTTCTGCTCGATATTTATTACACTAGAGTATTTAAAGACTGGGCCAAGCCTAATGGTATCGAACTGCGGATCGAGAGGTCCAAGTATTCGAGCCCGCGATGTGGTAATAAACATTCACAGCACTTTGACTGTTAGTATGTCTTAAAAAATGACTGGCACTTCTATTAGTTCGTTAAGGGGCAGTGGATGCTGTTGACTGATTGCTCTCTCTTTAATCAGAAGCTAAGAACGAGAGACGATTATGCTGTTTACCCATCTGTCACATAAGGTACCTTAACTCCAAAGTTAAACTCTAGCTTTTGACTTTTCCATTTTCTTACATCCAGCTAAGTTAATGAACAATCTCGTAATTTTTACATAAGTTTATTTTATATGTATTTATGCCCCCTCCCCAGTGACACAGCAGAATGTCTGCGGACTTACAATGCTAGAAACCGGTTTTCAATACCCGTGGTGGGCACAGCACGGATAGCCCATCGTGTAGCGTGGTGCTTAACTTCAAACAAACAAAAAATATGTTGTTATGGACGTATGTCTGATAGGTGCTGCAACGTAGTTAGTAATAAGATGTAAATAAAATCTCCAATCAACTTGATTATTAGAGCAGGTTTGTTATATACGTAAAACACTGCGACTACCTTGTAAAAAGATATTCATAAATCTATCACTCTAAAAACATTTTGGAGTTACTAAAATATGAGAGTAGGTCATATTATAGATGAGTAATTTTCTTACGCATTTATTGCAATAATGATATTAATATAATTGATAACGTGTATTTAATTTATCTTCTGTCTTTTCTTTGTTTGTGTATATTACTTAGTTGATGAAGTTTGGGACTAAAATATGGGGCAAAATAAATTTTAAAGGAAATAATCCACATCAAGGTCCTCATCACAGTTTAGTGATTTACATATTTCTCAAGAAACTAGATATTCAATACAGAATAGTGATATTATTTTCATAAGGTGTGAGACACATCAAAGTCTTTATTACAGCATAGATTTTACACTTTAATAAGAAACAAGGCATATTAAAAGCTCAGTAAAATGGCTGCCACATCTCAACAAAATGTCATGTTTAGAAGTTAGCACATCACACAGTTTCAAATTATCAAATATAACTTAGTTTAACGCCATGAAGCTAAACTGGCATATTTTTTACAAATGAAAATCAGCCGGAAGTCTGAGTTTCTCTTCAAATTTTGATTTTGGACGAGCATATCGACCGTAAAGTTCCAAACAATAATCTGCGTGTGCCGATCTCCAACCAACTACAGCTGAGGACGTGCGAGGTGGGGATGGTGAAGGCTTAACACAACTTGTATTGTGTGGGGAAATTTCTTGTGCTGGATTTTTCGCCTGATAGTCTTCGGAAGGACTGGAAACATTTTCTATTTGATTGAGATCTTCTTTCAACTGTGGACATACAAATAAGATAAGATGGTGTGCTATTATTCACATATGCTCAGTTTATTTTAAAAATTAGACATTGTGATGACCTGTTAGTTACACGTGGTTAGCTCACTTTTATAAAACAAGGCAAGGTGATGCTGTTAGTTACATGTGGTTTGTTTAGTGTTTTAAAACAAGGCTAAATGATGCTTTGTTACTTACATGTTCTTAGTTCACTTTCATTAGGCAAGGTGGTTTATTGTTAGTTACACGTGGACAATTTATCATTAAAAAGCAAAACAAGGTGGTATTTTGTAAGTTACACGTTTTTAGTTAACTTTTATAAAACAAGGCAAGGTTGTGTGCTGTTAGTTATATGTGGTTAGTTTAGTGTTTTAAAACAAGGCAAGGTGGTGTGCTGTTAGTTACATGTGGTTAGTTTAGTGTTTTAAAACAAGGCAAAGTGGCGTACTTTTAGTTACATGTGGTTAGTTTAGTGTTTTAAAACAAGGCAAGGTGGTGTACTGTTAGTTACATGTGGTTAGTTTAGTGTTTTAAAACAAGGCAAAGGGGTGTACTGTTAGTTACATGTGGTTAGTTTAGTGTTTTAAAACAAGGCAAAGTGGCGTACTGTTAGTTACATGTGGTTAGTTTAGTGTTTTAAAACAAGGCAAAGTGGCGTACTATTAGTTACATGTGGTTAGTTTAGTGTTTTAAAACAAGGCAAAGTGGTGTACTGTTGGTTACATGTGGTTAGTTTAGTGTTTTAAAACAAGGCAAAGTGGTGTACTGTTAGTTATATGTGGTTAGTTTAGTGTTTTAAAACAAGGCAAGGTGGTGTGCTGTTAGTTACATGTGGTTAGTTTAGTGTTTTAAAACAAGGCAAAGTGGCGTACTGTTAGTTACATGTGGTTAATTTAGTGTTTTAAAACAAGGCAAAGTGGTGTACTGTTGGTTACATGTGGTTAGTTTAGTATTTTAAAACAAGGTAAGATGATGTACTTATAGCTGTAACTTGTAATAAAAACAGGTGATGTACTGTTAGTCATATATTATTAGCTACTTTTTTTTTAAACAAAGCAAGGAGATGTCAGGGGCATAGCTGAGGGGAAGGGATGGATCGAAAGACCATCACAGTGTTCTAAAAGGTCCACTATATTTTGGTTTTTAAATAAACCCATGACTTTCATGTAAATCACTTAAATTCTCTGTGTAAAAGAAAAGTTTCACTTTTTTTTTTAAAAAGACACTTCCACAACTACACACACACTGTAGTGCTAGCTATGCCCCTGGTTGGTGTGCTGGTAGTATATGTGGTTAGTTTATTCTATTTAAACAAGGCATGGCGGTGTGCTGTTAGTTACATGTGGTTAGTGTTATTAAAGACGAAGCAACTTTTGTTTTAAGGCACACTTGAATAACAACATGAGTTTTTAAAGACAGTTCTATTCCTGGATTTTAAGCTCTCGAAAATCTCATTAAGGTATAATAACGTCACTGATATTTTTCTCAGGCCTGTAATATTGGGGAAGTGATACTGTAACAAATCAAGAACAATACTTTTATGTGCATCCTAGTATTTACTGAGCCACTTAACAGTTTACTCCCATCACTATTTGAGACCTTAATATGGGCACAGTTTTGGGAATTCTTAAACTATCGTCTCATTTAATAATTTTACATGAAACTGTAGTGATTATTTTCAAAGCAGATACAATATAGATAAGTTATTATAAAAAACATTCCAAAAATTCCAAAAACCTCTTTCCAAAAAGTTTTTAAAAAACCCCAGTCTTCCTCCCAGTTCTTGAAAGCGTTTTTCTCTTTCTCGACACAGTTTCTCCTGTAGAAAATATATAACAGATCTAATATTATTCAAAGCTAAAACCCAAGTCAAATTTAGTGTAACGTAAATCTAATTACTAAAAAACATATAAACTTTGCACTGTCATAGAAAGATATAGGAAAGGATAATGAGCCACTACTTCTTCATTCTTCTCATTTCTTCAGAACAAGAAAAAACAGGTAATAAGCCGAGAACGAGCCAGAGTGGTATGGGACTTGTGTTTCTTAGATACTCTCTAAGCAACACATGTGCTTCGATAATTTCTAAGTTACGAAGGGTTTTGGGTACACTCTAAATTATATATATATATCAAACTTGACTGTAATCTATTTACATGTTCTCAGATTCTGACTAAAAACACGTGTTTGCATACTCTCTGAGCCAAAAACATAAGTGTGTACTCTCTAAGCCATACACGTAGTTTAGTCATTTCTAAGTAACATATGTTTTGAAATATGCTCTAAACTATATGCATATATCAAACTTGTCTGTAATCTACATACGAGTTTTCAGATTCTGACTAAAAAAAACATGTGTTTGAATACTCTCTGAGCCAAAAAAGTGTTTGTGTACTCTCTAAACCATACACATATTTTTCTAAGCAACATACGTTTTGGGGTACGCTCTAAACTATTATTCATATAGCAAAACAGTGTAATATCTACAAACGTTTGTACACAATCAGATGTACCACGTATATACCAACACTCGCCAATAAACAGATACCATTCTAATGTACCCAGATTCTGGTTTGCGAATTTAAAAAATGCACAAACATGCATACATTTATAAGTATCGTAAGGCAACAACAAAAAAAAAAAAACGTTAAGAGAAAGTAGTTTCTTCGTTTACGTTGACGTTTTCCTTACCAACGATCATCCTGAGCAACAAAATTATGTCGAGGAATCTCCATTCCTGTTGGTTCTTCAATAACTCTTTGTTTTCTCTGACCATTTCTCCGTCTGCTGTCGTGTTGGGAAGGGTTGTTTTCCCTAGGTCGACGAACTGAGGCGTGTTTTTTCACTCCCGACATTATTATAAAAGCAGTTATTTTTCAGGCGACATGGCACTAGGTAATATGAGTCGATGTATTTGTACACCACACGATGGCGCAGTATTATCAGTCGTTACCATGGAGACAGGTGATAAAACAAAGGCGAGAAATTATGAGATGTTAGTGAAATTTTAAAACCTAGAACATTTTTATGAGACAAAAAGTAAAATTAGTGAGCTAAACATATAAACATATGTGCAATGTTTATAATACATGACATAAAAAATTACATGTCCAGTGTTTACAGTACTTGTTGGAATAAATGCTTATATGTCCAGTGTTTAAATATATAAAGAATTGGATTTGTTATATTTAAATGAACTATTTTTAATATGCAAGTCAGTATTTCATGTGGCAACCACAGCCACTATAAAGTCATGGTTGAATGAAATATATGAGAACTACATTTTGACATTATTTGGCGTTAAGTTGTGATGCAATCTAAAATTGATGGCTATTGTGAAGGTTTTTGACAAACCTTCATTCCGATGTAAAATATTCATATATTGAGATGATAAAGATGTGTTCAGATAGTGGAGTTGGAATTTCCAAGACGGGGATAGTCCTTCTATTTAATGAACTTGTAAAACGAAGGAATATGGGTCAACTTGGGAAACCAAACCCATCCAAAAAAAGACCTGCTAGAAGTCATACCCCAGCCGTGGTAAGCAAAGTGCGGCGTCTTGTAACAGGTGAAAATTTACGAACGCAAAGATTAGTGGCAAATGCTGTCCACTTGCCCTAAGCATGCAACATAATCAAGAAGTTCTCCATCTGAAACAAAGCCAACTGGACATGATTTCACCAAGATAAGACTTCCAGTCATGCCTCTATTTCAGCCGTTTCATATATCAAGCAGCTGAAGAATGAAATGAATATTCATGCTATTCCATACGAAGACGTACCGATCAAGTTGCCAGAAGCAGCGCCTATGAATTTCTATGCGATCAAATTATTGTAACGGGCGCTGCAAAACGCCATCCTCATAAACTTGAGCGATTATTTAAACCCTGCAGGGAGGAGTGTTGTGTTTTGGACATGACAGCCTTTTGATGGAGGGCTTTTGTAGGTCAAAATTCACGGTTGACTAGATGCGGCGACATGGCCTGTAACGACGGACTGAGGCACTAAAAACGTTTTAATATAACGTACATAATTTATTTACAAGTGTTCTCTGTACATATCTATATCTTCTTCATTTCTGAGTATAATTTACTTTTACTTATATGATTGACTAACTGGATATCAAAAGTTAATTATATTAACAAGGACATTGTTATAATTATTTGGACAGTTAAAATGGTTGAGAGTTTTAAAATTAACACAAGTTAAATGAACACTGAAACATTGTACAATCTGTTGTCACAACATGGTTGAATATCAGAATTAGGGTTGCAAGTTAGCTATTTCAATAATTTAGAGACGTTACAATTTTACTAAATACTTAGAAGCTGGTTAAACACCTCAGAACCAGATAGGTTTAGTAAACCACAAAAGTTCTAAATTCCCTTAAATGAGTTGGTTGAAACAATTCAAATTTATTCGAACGTTATAGGACAGAAATTTTGGCAAGTTGATTAAATGACTGCTGGTAAAATTACTCAAAATTTTGTATTCACGAACTAATAACTAATTTTGATGTCGCTTGGTGTGCAATATGTTCTATAAAGCTCTATTTTTTCATTTGTTCAATATCAAAACGCTTTTTTTTTCATGTCCCCTTTTAGTAATAAGTCTGGAAATATCAACGAAAGGAAAAGTGAATTTTCCAACTTTGACGTATTGTTCTGGTTCGACAGTTTTGACAGACCGAATCGAACATGCTGCTGAAAACAAGTCGGTTCAACTTCAAAGAATGCATGTAGGCGCTCCTTAGTGTCACGGTTGTCACTGAAATAACAGTCCATCAAAGCCCATCAGATTGTAGATCACATGGCCTGTTCTTTGAGGGTATATACGAACAATCCCGCCAAAAATTTTTTAAAAATCACCCATTACTTTCTTCTATATAGTAGCAGTTGCACTATTTACATACAAAAAGGAATATAACTGCATAACCAATTCTTTAGAAAGGTAAACAGTTTAAAATTCCACCTTGGCAAAGAAGAATATGAATGGTTTTGCCACAGAAATCTCTATCGAAGAAAAGCAGATCCTGACAAGAATATTCGTACCTTTTTTTACGTATTTTAAAAACTATGTACATAACAAGTGTTGAATAGAAAAAGGAAATAGCTTAATAATGAGAAAACGAAATTCTTGATCTGACGGTTTTCATTGATGAGAACATATGAAATCAAAGTTCATAATCCTCGGAATTCGTTTTCCCTAAATAACACAGTGTCAACCAGGGAACAAATATCAAATATCAAAGGTAGCGAGGTAGCTGTACCTACCATCATTTGGCCTTTATTCAGCTTTTTGGATCGAAACAACGCAACTGACTGTCACTTTGTTTAGTTGTATCACTCCTCGAACCTCAGACTCTTCTGTTCTCAGCCTTGCACTCCAATAACATATAGTTCAAGATATTTTCCACTTTGTTTCTCTTGCGTTTTGGGTAATTTTTTTATTAAATGAGTTTGAAGAACTTTTCTATATCGTAGTCATTTGTTAGCTTTTCTTTAATACAATTTTATGATGGTTGTGAACGAGGGTTGTAAAGCCCTTTCAAAATATTTTAGTTTGAATAGCTTGTTGTTATTCAAATTAAATAATATTATTCTTTCTTGAGAAGATTTCCCTGACTTTAAAAACTTTAGAGTTGAAAAGCTTTGACCACCAAGCAACACTCGTTTCGGAAAATAAAAGAATAAAAGTAATTTGATATTTGTTCCCTGGTTGACAAAAACGTTGGATTTCTCTCTCTCTCTGTATGTATATATATATATACAATTATAAACACACACAACTTAAAAAAAAAACACAAACTTGCTTTATATTCGGTAAGATTTTGATTGTCGAAAGAGTGTTCATGAATATTTATGTTTGGAAACTCGGAACAGTTAAACCGATTGTTTGTTGTTTTCTTAGTGCAAGGCTGCACAATGAGCTATCTACACGCTGTTCATCGCGGGGAATCGAATCCTGATTGTTTGCGTTGTAAGTCCGTATACTTACCGCTGACCAACTGACAGACCAGTTAAACCACAATCTTATTAAAAAAAAAAAAACGCTCCAAATGTTGTATATGTTATAGTGGGGTGTTTGGTAATAACAAACATTAATAATGTAACGTGGGAAAGACTGGCACAGTAACAACAGTACTGCTAAAAAGTGCACCAGTTATAATTCAGTGTTTGAAAAATACTGCATATAAGGTGCATTAACCTTTCCTTAGGGGGTGGGAGAAAATGATGTCCTTTTTTATGTCTTTTCCTCCCACTTTGAATTATTGGTGGTAACATTTTTACTATTATTACCAGAGCTATTGTTTCCTGCATTCCTGCCCTGGACCGCGTGGCAATTTCTTATTTGCAGAACGAGATTAATCATAAGGGTAATGTATAAAAAAAATCGTTGTTAAGAACAGTGGGGGTAAAAAAACAAACACAAAAGTTGACCCACTTTTACTCGAAGATCTTGAAAAGGAACGATAATCGGCGGTATAATCTCAGAACAAGGTACGGGGTGGGGAGTTCATACACGTGCTGTCTGACACAATTCATTGCACCCCACCTCCACATAGACACCTGTAAATACAAAGTGTTGCCCAGACAGAAGGCAAATGACTTTGTGGCTAAGTTATCACGTGAAGTCTCGTCTGCAGCTATTTGGCACATGATTACAATCAACCCAATAAGTAAGCTAATGACCTTGAGGAGGACCGGGATACGAAACCAACAAGCAACTCTGTTATTATTGACAATTACATATCGTTTATTACAAGACAGCGAAACAAGATTTCATTCAGTTTGACCACCAACAAAAATAATTTATTATATCAATGATGATAGACCTGAGAAACTAACCTATTAAGTTTTCGTGTTTATCTTTAGTGTTTCGAGTTGGGTGAATGTGTCTTTCAGACGCTTATATTTTCCTTTGATTAGATATACAGAGAAACAAAATAATATCCAGACAGACTTAAAAGGTGCTCAACATTTTCTAGTATTCTCTTCCGAAACAAATACCCCTATAGCTCAGTTGTAAGTTTGAAGGTTTATAACGTTAAAAATTGGGTGTCGTTCTTGTAGTAGGCACAGCACAGATAGCTCATTGTATAGCTTTGTGCTTAGTAGCAAACACATAAATAAACAAACCGAAAACTAAACAAACGACAGTGAATGTTGGAGATAGTCCTTCTGAATGTTCTATATATTCTTAGATTGCCTATAGGCAAATAATTGTAACAATTAACAAACATTATCTCAATATTGTTATAGTGTCTTGGACTGACCGAACGTAACGACTGAAACAATGGTGACAGCACTATTTAGCACTTTAGCTTTTCTAGTAACTATTTCTCTTTATATTATGATGGTGTTTCCTAGCGTTCCACATCTTAAGGTTGTATAAGTGATTTTATCATAGCAACCAACGTATTTCTGCTTCTGTGGTAATGGTGTTTCTTGGCGTTCCGTAGCTTCTTAAGGTTGTATATATAGACTAGAAAATAGAATACCAAAAGTGAAATACTGACATTTTTGAGTGAAAGTTGGCAACATGACGTTTGAAGATAATTCTGTCAAAAAAAAAACATGTTACCAAGCTCAATTTTGATGACTGCAAAATAAAATGGCTGCCAAAATAACAATTTTTCCCAAAGGCAATTTACGAACTTTATTTTGTTTATACTTACTGTTGCCACAACAGATGTTGTTTTCAACTGCATGTTCTTAGAGTCAAAATTAAAGGGGCAAGCCTACGGAATGTTCAGTTTATTTATGCAATGATTACTGACTCCAAAATGACTCATGAATTACAAGGGAGCATTTCAAGACGTTTCCCATAATGCCTCAAACGAATAACACTTTACTCAGCCTTGCGTCATTCCCTACATACCTACAGCCATAGACTAATATAAGATCGTCAGAGAGGCGAAGCACAACACTGGTGTCGAATTATTACATTATTATAGTTATATGTATTCGTTTGTTAATATTTTGTTTATTAAATCATAAACAGGTTAGCTTACA